GAGAGAGAGGGAGAGAGAGAGACTTTTGGCTTCATGCAAGGAAAGCAGCAGAAGCAGCAGAAGTCTTTCTTTCTCTCCCCCAAACTCTGCCAGAAATGAGGCTTTGTGAGGCTTGTTGCACCGGTGCAGCCTCTTGGAGCAGGATGCCTTGCAGGGTCCCAAAGACTCATTTCTGGTGGAGTTTGGGGGAGAGAAAGAAAGACTTTTGCTGCTTTCCTTATGTGTAGCCAAAAGCAGAAGAAGAAAGAAGCAGCCCAGTGGCCAGGCGAGGCAAGTGGGGTTAGTGGGGTAAGTCCCCCTCCTCCACCCTTTCCCTCCTTCCCTCACCACCTTGTGTTGTTGCAATGCAAGTGACACAAGCCTTGTGTTCCCACGGGCCATGTGGGCAACACAACTTTGTGTTCCCACGCAGCCTGGATTAATTGCTTTGGGGGTGACATTTCTCTGTGGACCACCAAAATTTTCTCCAGTGGTCCCCAGCTTATTGGTTGGCAACTACTGACCTAGATCAGGGGTCTCCAACCTTGGTCACTTGAAGACTTGTGGACTTTAACTCCCAGAATTCCTCAGCCAGCAAATTCTGGGAGTTGAAGTCCACAAGTCTTAAAGTTGCCAAGGTTGGAGACCCCCTGATCTAGGCTAATAATAACAACCTGTATCTTGGCAGGGATACGTGTGATTTCAATATTGGTGTAGATAAGAGTAACATTACAATCCACTTTCTTTTTTTTTGGTAAAGTTTTTTTTAATTTTTAAACATATATCAATATTTCATGGACAGTGTGGCATCTGAATGTCATTCATTTTGATACAAAAGTAATATTGATACAAATGAAAGTTACTACATTAATCAGACTTATGTGATCTAATGTTATTATACATATCTGTATCAGCACATAATCCTTCATTTTTCAATTATTCAATATTTGCCACATCCTTCTAATAGTAATAGCATTATTTTTGAGCATACCTGATCACATCTGTATATGTATAACAATATTCCCCCATTTCTAATTTGTTAATCTATTCTAATTTTTAGTACAGCCAATCTTGTTTTTTTTTTTTTTTTAAGAAAAACCCTTCCTATCCATCAGCTCTCATCCTCTTGGAAGTTTCACTTCTTCTCTTTTTGACTCACCTCCCATACTCCTCACTTGGGTCCTTATTTACATCTTTTATATTCAACCCAACCATCATTCCATCCCCACTATTTTTTGCTGCCACTCCACCCATACATCTGCCAAATCCTCTGTATTTTTTTTCCCAGAGATATCTTTCGATAATTCAATTCCATTTTTCTACCTTCTAATATATATTCTCCCAACTTCATTTCACCCAACGCTATAATCTCCTTCTTTTTTCCTGCTTCTATTTGTTGTATCGTCTGTTCTATCTCATCCTCTAGGCTTCACAATCCACTTTCTGAATAGTTGCCTTTTTCTTCCCTTGTCTGTGCAGCCTTCCCATGCTGACAAGATATCAAATCCCGAAGTAATGAAATGGATGAATGACTTAGCCAAAAGTCGTAAACAGCTAAAAGGTACACACTGTCACTATGTCTAGCCTGTTTCTCAGAGTACCCGAAGCTACAGTGTTTGCTATTTAGCCTAATGGATGGGGAGAAAAGGGGCACTTGTGTTCTCTACCCCATCCCCCATATTGGAAGAAAAGCCAGTTCAACTCTTATCAGGGCAGAAATCCTGAAATCCTATATGAAGGGTTTCTCGGAAAACCTCCGTGCACACAAATCAGTGGTGGGATTCAACATTTTTTACTACTGATTATGTGGGCGTGGCTTGGTGGGCCTGGTGTGGCTTGGTGGGCATGGCAGGGGAAGGATATTGCAAAATCCCCATTCCCACCCCAATCCTGGGGGAAGATTACTGCAAAATCCCATTCCCTCCCCACCCCACTAACCAGCTCCGTTCTCCTGTGCAGGGCAACCAAAGGAGACCCAGCCGATCAGCTGGGACTTGGGAGGCAGAGTATAAATGGGGGCAGGGCCAGTCAGAGGCGGTATTTGCCAGTTCTCTGAACTACTCAAAACTTTCCGCTACCTGTTCTCCAGAACCGGTCAGAACCTGCTGAATACCATCTCTGTGATGACCCAGGGTGGAATACAAAACAAACACAGTCACAGAAAACAGGTGAAGCCCCTTTTATCCCTTTACTTTGCTTCCAAGCTCTGAATATCTTTGGTGGAAGACAAAAAACTCCCACACAAACAGTTACATGAAGAAGGAAAAAAGCAACACAAACCAGGCAAGATAAGGGCTGGAGGATGTCCACAGATAACACACACTGGGAAGGACGCCAAACTCAGAGAGGAACTATAAACTAGAGATATTTCCATGCTTTGTTTCCAGCACTCGCCCGTACGCATGTCCGTCCTCTTATTCAGTTGTCACAGCTGCAGCCCATGAAGATCAAAGCCCTCTCCTCCCAAGTAGACCACGTCTCTCCCTTATCCTCTTCTCCCTGTGTGTCCTAGGATCGATATGGGATGGGCCTGGGTCCTCCTCTGACTGCCCAGCTGGCCTCTGCCCTTCCCCAGCCTCCTCCACAACCTCGGAGCCACACTTCCACTCCCTGTCGGCTGTTTCTCCTCTCCCTCGGAGTCAGTCTCCACCAGGGGCATGACAGCCTCTGACACAAAAGTTAATTCACTCTAAAGGATTCCTGGAAAATACTACATTTTCTCCCTGATGTACAGGTTTCCTATAGAGAGAGAAGAATGAATCCCCCCTTACGCTCACACTTTCTTGGAGATGTAACCAACAAGATCTGGTTTGGTGCAAACCCAGCAATGTTGGTTTCCAGGAACCTTAAATCTTAGCCCTTTCCTGGATCAGCCCAGCTCTCCACTGACTGAGCTGCTGCAGAGCTAGCAGATTCCTGATGTGGATAGCTCTCATGCATCCTAAAATGCTAAGCTTGATCTTAGGATATCAAGCTATCTTTAGAAACTATTATTTCCCTATTGCATATGTCCCAAGTGTCAGACATTTTCGTGATAGCGTGCGCTGGAGGCCCTCGGAGATCAAACATGTCCCTCAAAGAAACCGTGTGCCAGGAGTGTGACTTTTTAATGACATCTTTTTAAGTCTTAAAAAGCCGAGTAATCTGATCCATACGATTACCGCTTCCATTTGATTACAAAGGCCTGTGCAAAACAGATAAGTGCGAGGGAGAGAATTAATGAGCAAAGCTGGAAGCTGAGTTGCTAAATTGACACTGAGGGCACTGAGAGAAGGAGGAGTGGGTGGGGGAAGGACCACCGAAATAGCCTTCAGGCAGGAATAATTACTTCCTTGCCTTCTGTAGTCTTGATCTGTACTCCCCTTCTGTTTGCTCCACACCAACATTTTATAAAACAAAACAAAACCCTTGGAGGTTGTGGGAGCGCCATCACTGGAGGCTTTCAAGAGGAGATTGGACTGCCATTTGTCAGAAATGGTGTAGGGTCTCCTGCTTAGGTGGGGGGGGGGGTTGGACTAGATCAGGGGTCACCAACCTTTTGGACCTCAGGGACAACCAAACTCATAATTTTAAATCCTGTGGACCAGAGACCCTGGGAAAATCCCCCCCCCCAAAGTCTGCAGGAAAATTCCCCACCCTGTTTTCCTATCGATCGATCATTCTTTATTTGGGATTGCAGGATACTGTCTCCAGCTCTATTCTTGGGGAGAGAGTGGGGGGAGAGGGAGAGAGAGGGAGAGAGAGAGATCTTTGGCTACATGCAAGGAAAGCAGCAGAAGCAGTGGAAGTCTTTCTCTCCTCCAAACTCCACCATAAATGCTATGCTGGCTGGAAAATTCTGGGAGTTGAGGTTCACAAGTCTTAAAGGCAGAGGTGGTATTTGTGTTCACCTTTGCAACAAACCAGTGCCCCTTGTTCCTTGACTTCTTATTTTCCTGTCTTTCTCACAATCTTCTGAAGCACCCAACTCCCAGGGGATTCACCTGGGTTATTCAGTACTCTGTGCCAGAGGTGCTATTCAGCAGGTTCTGACCAGTTCTGGAGAACCGATAGCGGAAATTTTGAGTAGTTTGGAGAACCGGCAAATACCAGCTTTGACTGGCCCCTCCCCCATTTATTCTCCGCCTTCCAAGTCCCAGCTGATGGGCTGGGGCTTCTTTGGTTGCCCTGCATAGGAGAACGGAACTGGAAAGCAGGTTAGTGGGGTACGGAGGGAATGGGGATTGTGCAGTATCCATCCCCTGCCACGCCCACCATGCCATGCCCACAGAACTGATAGTAAATTTTTTTGAATCCCACCACTGCTTAAAGGTGCCAAGTTTGGAGACCTCTGGTGTAAGGGGACTTCTGTATGTTCTCTTTATGGTTGCCTTGCATGACTTGTAATGGTCCATATTGAGTTGGGCTTATCTGATTATAGAGTTAAAAGGGACCTTGAATAGCAATAGCACTTAGACTTATATACTGCTTCACAGTGCTTGACAGCCCTCTGTAAGCAGTTTACAGAGTCAGCCTCTTGCCCCCAACAATCTTGATCCTTATTTTACCCACCTCAGAAGGATGGAAGGCTGAGTCAACCTTGAGCCTGGTGAGATTTGAACTGCCAAATCACAGGAAACTGGCAGTCAGCAGAACTGGCCTGCAGTACTGCACTCTAGCCACTGCACTACCGAGGCTCATAATCTTCATTGAAGATCATGAAATCAAAATATAAAGAGATAGAAGAGGGGCTAATACTGGTGTCCGTCTGGTTTGGGACAGTTTTCTTCTGCCTTCTCTGTACCTTTATCAGCATTGTTTAAATACAAAAAGAACAAGATCCAAGGTACTGGACCTGTTCACATATATTGTAAACCATTAGATAGACAGCATGATCATGTTGCCCAAATATGGACCATGGTTGAGGTGGAAAACCTTCACTGCCCTCTATGAAATGATGCATTCTGTTACATTAATGAACTTGAACCTTGAGATCTGATGTTGTCTGAAACTGAATAAGGGTTAAGCAAGGCCATCTTCCCCTGGTCCTCCATATTGTGTGGAGAAAGAAAGGGACAATGGGAAATAGAATTGAATAGAATTCTTTATTGGTCAAGTGTGGTTGGACACACAGGAATTTGTCTTTGGTGCAAATGCTCTCAGTGTACATTAAAGAAAATATACATTCATCAAGAGTCAAGAATCATCAGGTACAACACTTAATAATAGTCACAGGGTACAATAAGCAATCAAATCATACTAGGAAACAGTCAATATAAATCGTAAGGATACAAGTGACAAAATTACAGTCATACAGTCACAAGTGGGAGGGGGTGGGCGATAAGGAGTGATGAGAAGATTAATAGCAATAGTAGTGCAGACTTAGTAAATAGTTGGACAGTGTTGAGGAAATTATTTGTTTAGCAGAGTGATGTTTTTTCGGGAAAAAACTGTCCTTGTGTCTAGTTGTTCTGGTGTGCAGTGCTCTAAAGTCTAGACTTTAGATTAGACTTTTCCAACCCTATATGAGGTGGCCTCCAACTCCAGCAGGATTACAGAGAAAATGGAATTGAGTGACTGGCAGCCATGCAAAATTGGCTTAGATAGATACCAATAGATGAGGAGCATGTGCTTTGTAATTTTATAGGTATAAATACCATCAATAAATTTTCCAAGCATTCCTAATCTTCTTGCCTTATTTTCCTGAGGTTGTGTTACGTAGGAACAAGTTGACATGAACAAGAGACAAGAGTTCATGAAAGACCATAACTTGTCTCCGCTCTGTTCTTGAGAGCAACCCAAACAAGCAGTTTTTTTAAAAAAAAACTTGGCACCACATCTGAAGCACTTTCGATTCTGTGGGTCATGAAGTGTCTCAGATCTCTACGTCGATGAAAGGGTGCCATGAGAAGCTGTAGGCTGCAGGTGTTCGCTCACTTAGAGGTATTGTGCGGACTTTTTCTTACAGAGCTGAAACTCAAAATGTCAGAAGAACAGAACTTCCCCATCAAAAGAAGCCAAAGGAACTTTCATCAGGAGAGCTCCAAAGAGGCCGCGAGGCTGGATCCAGCAGATTCTCCCACCAGTCCTTTGGTGGAGGAAACCATGGAAGCGGTGAAGAAGCAACTGAAGGAGAAGCGACAGCAGCTCGGTCTCCCTGAGAACATCAAGGTACCCAGGTTCTTGCACAACATCTAGGTTTGCTGGTTTACTTGCTGGCTTGCTTGACATGTGCCTGATGGCTTCTGTCATGTCCTATCACCTCCATGAGCTTCCTTCCACACTGACTTGAAGACCCTGTGTGTGTGTGTGTGTGTGTGTGTGTGTGTGTGTGTGTGTGCGTGCACGGGCATGAGCTTCACATGAGCGAAAAAAATCAAAGAGGCACAAATTACTCGCTACAAACATCTGTGCAGAAAACTGTATGTTAGTGGGCACTAGGGTACAAATGTGTATTATTGCCACCTGGTACAAATGTGGCAATTGTGATATTTCACTACAGCAACACAACGGGTTTTAAATTATCATCTTGTAGCCTGTTTGGTGTCCAAAGCTGTATCTGGAGATTCTGAGGTTTAGGTAGAAACTCTTTGGCTTCTGGTAGAAGCCATGAAGGGGTCAAAATGATGTGGCATGCTCTGCGTAAAGAGATGAATATGTCATTCGTGGCATGGTGCTACGTGACTTGTGACAGCACTGGCATTCAAATCAGTGCTTTTCAAATCAGAGTCATGCCTGTGATGTGGAACGGGAAAGGACATTGAAGCTCAGAGAGTGACCAAAAGTCTTCATCCTCAAGCCATTAACTGAGTTAGTTGTCTAGGTCGGGGGTCCTCAGTCTCTGGGCTATGGCCCACTGCTGGGCCGTGAGCAGTTTGGAACCGGGCTGCCAAAGTGGCAGGCAAACATGTGCACGCATCCCTACTTGTGCGAGCAGCAGGCAAGCATGTGCGCGCACACACTAATTGCACAAGCAATGCCAGCCACTCACAAGGAACCATCCCCTATGCACCCTGCCAGTCCACAAAGCCGGAAAGGTTGGGCAACTTTGGTTTAAGTCACCCCCAACCTCCCTTTACTCTTTTAGGTAGTCCAGGGGTCCCCAATCTTCAGTCTGTGGAGAGGCACTGGTCTGCAGCATGCCAGAACCTGGGTTGCGCAAACAAGCAAAGCCCCATCCACGGGATGCAGGCAGCACACTAAACCATGCCCCCTCTGGTCTGTGGAAAAACCTTTCTCCACAGAACCAGTCCCTGGTACCCAAAAGGTTAAGGGCCGCTTGGTATAGTCAATAAAAAAACCACATTTGAAGCATAAACGTGCATCTTCAAATTTAATCTTGTTGGCAATTACAATTACTTTCAGTTTAGATCGTTTTTGGAGGGGTCTGTGATAAACCCAAAGGACAAAGGTAATTGGCACCTGTGCACTTCTAAGACTGCCTAGTTCTGTGAACCTAAAGGAATCTTGCAAAAAATATCTAGTTTGGTTCAAGGAGAAAAGAAAGCTTGTAGAACCAAAATTCAGAGCTCACTGACATCTGTGCAAAAAGATCAGTGAGATGCATTTCACAGTTGGCACCTAGTGGTTGATCATAGTTACCTTGAGTCAGCCAGCTTTAAAGCATCATCCAAATTCTGCGGTAAAAAAAAAAAGCCACCTGTGACTTTTAAAAACCACGCGGGGTTCATTCACATTATTTTGTGCAGCCGTTTCCTTCCAGCAGATAACACTTGATGGTTAATTTTTCTATAAATCATTCTTTTTTAATTAGGCTATGACAAAAAAGCAAATGGCTTTGGAAAAACTCAGTCTCCAGAAAAGCCTACTCTATTTTGAAAGTATTCATGGACGGCCTGTAAGTATTTCTTAGAAAGAGAGGTCAACTTCAGGTTAGCCATTACAAAGAGTTTTCAGCAGGAGATGGCTTCTGAACTTCCCCAGCCCACACACCAAGATCCGTTTGAATTAGGTCCAGTACTTCAAGCAGCCTTCCACCATGTCATGTTCCATAGATTCCTGAACTATGTCTAGTTCTATCATATCTCTCTCTAACTCTATCTTCTATCGATCATCTATTCTTCTCTCTATCACCTCTCTATCATCTGTCGATCATCTATCTATCCCTCCCTTCTTATTTACCTAGTTCCTATATCTATCTCTCACAATTTAGAAGCTACCCAGCTCCAAATGACTGTGGGGCACTTTCTGAAATTCATGAGAGCCATAAGGATCTTGAGGGGGGCGGTGCTACTCCAAGGGGTGGTGGGGAGAGCAGCAACAGGGAAGGCACCCTTCCTTGGTCCCAAAACATAAGCGTGTTTTATTGAGTGGTCCATTCTGCTCAACCTCATCACATTCTTGAAGACGCACATTGCGTTTCACAAGTACAGGACCACTGGATATTGGTAGGTTATTTTTCAGCTAGTTTGAAAAAAAATGTGCAGTTGTTATATCCCATCACACTAATCAGGAGTACCAACACATCCACTGATAGGTTAGATGAAAGGGTTAGAAAACATTTAAATTAATTAATTAATTCTACAAATTAAAGCGAGCCTGAGCTTTAGTTGAACGTAATATCTAAGTGCTTGGCCATTGTCACCTTCTGGGATTTTTCCTGCTTTAATCATTAATTCTGGTGGTCTCCATCCAAGTTCTAACCAGGTTTTACCTTATCTTTCAAGGTCAGCAAAGATCAAATAGAAACTGCCACTTGATGTGAAGAGAAGGAACACAAGCCAGTCTGAGACACTGGGTTGGGTTGCCTTGCCTTGATTGTTGTCTCTTTTTCACCATAGAGATATACATTCACAACCATTCATCCAAGACCACAATTCCCGTCCTTTTCTTCCATCCACATCCTTCCATTCATACCTAAGTCCTCAGTATTGTTGCTGGTCTAGAAAGATGCTTCTCTTTCCACTAAGCAAACAAGAAGGGCTTTGAGATGTTGCAGGCAGGTGCTGCTTCATGGTCCCCTATGCCTTGGAGCAGCTTTTGGAGTGGACATCCAAAGTGTTGTGCAATTAGCAGAAACAAAAAAGCAGTTGGAGAGAGGAGGGAAGGTCAATTTGACATAGTTTTTCACCTGTTGCAAACCACACGAAAGGCTTCTCTGAATTGTGTCTCACCTACAGGCCAAAGGCTTACATGTTTTTTTCCCTCCTTTATTAAACCAGCTTACCTCTTCCTCTTCCTCTTATCTATTTCTGGTCTACTGGAATCTTAGCTTATTATTGACCGTGTTCTTCTGCAATACCATTTTGACCTTTTATGGGTTCTCTAGGACAGCTTGTTCCTTTATCAATACTTGGGCTTGTGTGTCTTAGTGCGACAACCCTCAGTGTGTATTTTATATGTTCTCCACGGAAGATGGATTATAGTTGAGGGTTGATAGCCAAGAACAAGGGTCTTCAAACTTGGCAAGTTTAAGACTTGTGGATGTCAACTCCCAGAATTCCTGAGCCAGCATGACTGGAGGAGGAATTCTGGGAGTTGAAGTTCACAAGTCTTAAAGTTGTTAAGGTTGGAGACTCCTGGCCAAGAAGGACATGCCAGTCAGGTTTGGGTCTGTGTCCCTTTGGTGTATGATAACTTCATTTCTACATTAATATACAGATGTTTTCAAATACAAACTCATCTGAATATTTGAATATACCCTTACTGAATTTTCTCTCAATATTTGTATATTTCCCTGCAAAATACATTCTAAAATCTGTGCTGCATCTTTGAGTTAAGAACTGAGCTGAACATTCAGAAATGTGCAAGATTTTGTGCACAACTAACTTAAGATTGGCATTTTTTTTCCTGCCTAGAACAGCCCAGCTGGTGCACTGAATATAAAATTTCTATGAGAGAGGAGGATTTTTCTTTTCGAAATCTTTTCCAACAGTTTTTAGGAGATGCCATGAACTAAATCAAGCTGGCATCCATCTATCATTCATCCTACTGGAGGTTCCATCCCTGTAGCACTTCCTTGATTCTCCCCTAAAATGTTGAGGTGGCGCTGAATCATGTCCTAAGATGTATGGACAGCAAGGGATTTGCCTGGAATGACCAAGATCTGCCAGTCTTAATGTCGCATGACCGACATTTGCTTATAAGACGTTTTGCAGTTGCCAGAGGCAAAGACTAGGCAGGGAATGTGAATTACAGTGTGTCAGTTTGCTGCTAAGGAATGGTGGGGCACCAGTCCAACTTCTGATTGGAAGTGGTGCTTCTCTAACACAAGGTATTTACGAATCACAGACATATGTCTTATCTTTTTAAATTCTTGGAGGGAAAAAAAAACCCACAGTGTGCAAGGATATACAGAGTCAGTTCTGATAAACTGTTTCTTTTACAGAAGTGTTGCATTCACATAATTAAAATTAGAAGAAAAACAATTTTTTTAGAACAAATGATATCCCATCAGCACAGAAGTATCCCTGTGTTTTGTGCCTCACATTCCTCATGTTGGAATTTAAAAATCTACTTCTGTTGATGGATTGTGACTTTTAAGAAGAAATGTCAGATGTCTCTTCAGAACCAACCTGGTGCTCCTTACTTTTTCTTCCTAGGCTAACCAGCAAGACAGGAGTTTGATGAAGCCTCTTTATGAAAGATACAGAATTATAAAGCAGCTTCTATCAACGCCCTCTTTGATTACAACTATTGTAAGTCTCATGAGGATTGTGTGAAAAAATGCACCACAACCAGTGATGTTTCTTGTAGGCTTTCTTGAAGTTGTGCATTAGCTTTTTGTTTTATGCATAAAGGTCTTGCCAGTACATTTATTCTTCAGGAAATAAAATCCAGGGGGCTTACTTGGACATACTTTCAAATAGGGCTGGATTGGGATTACTGGTTTGTAGTATCAAAGTAATGTCTGTCAAATTGTTACAGTTATGGAAAGTACACGTTGTGGGCAACCGTTGGGGTTTAGAAATAATTGTGGTTACTTGCAGGGAGAAGGACCACCATTCAGTTATTCTTTCTTCTGAAAGAATTCCATTAAAGACAGTCAGAACTGAAGAAGTTTCTTGGGTGAGAAGCAAAACATTTTCAAGGGAAAAAACCCCAACAAAGTCCAATTCCCTTTGGAAAAGCATCTTTGGGATTTCCATTAAGGATAATTAGTCTCAGAGTCTCAGAGAACAACAAACATCTCAGAAAGTGTTAGACACTGTGCTAAAGTGTGATTTATTTACACTTCTCTTCCAATAATGAGCACTAAGACCTTGAATATGCATCTGCTGCAGCTTCTAACATGATAAAAGCCTTGGCCAACCAACATTTCTAATGCTTAAATACAAACCAAGCCAGTCTGTTTATTCATATAATTTTTGTCCTCTGGAATGAATGCCTTCTTCATTTGAAGGATGGGTGGGTAAGGAGAGAGGGACCCTGATAACTCTTGTTCCCTGTTCCAAGCAGGAGGAGGAAGATTCTGATGAAGAACCTCCTCAGAGTAGCTCCACTGGGTCTCTCCATTGGCCCCCTGAGGCACAGATGGGTCACTCAGATGAGGAGAATGAACCCGCCTTTGTTTCACCGCTGGATGAAAAGAAAGTGATGAAACAGCCAACCCTCTCGATGTCCAATTTACATGAGGCCACTATGTGAGTGCCAACTCTCCCCCTTGTTTAAATGATGATGCACCTCTCTTGGTATCAGGGATCATTCATTGATTCATTCATTGATTCATTCATTGATTCATTGATGATTCATTCATTCATTCATTCATTCATTCATTCATTCATTCATTCATTCATTCAT